AGGATGCAGTGTAAAATTATGAAAAGAACCCCGGAGCAGGCCATATCTGAATAAATGCAGTTAGAACGCGATAACGCCACAACCCTTTTTGCTATGTGCCATGCAGAAATTTTTAGACCCATATTAAGTAAAATCTAATTAGCATATTGAAACAATCATTACCGACTACCAGCCGGACCATTTTTAACATGAATATTTTTGGCACAAGAGCAATCCAGGTCATAACCGAGCCTAGCCGGCAAGACTTCCCCACCGTACAGCTCCAAACATTTAGTGTTAGTACTAAAAAATCTTAAACCATCATTACCACTGTTACCATGATTCTGTGAGTGTCGCTCCTCCTTCAAAGTTGACTATGAAGCAATATGAAAACAACACAGATTCCTTAGCGTGCATCACTACCACTACCAAACTGCCATCAAAATGAATATACTGAATAGTAACCCAGGCTGGAACGCACGAAGCTTGCCGGTGCGATCATGCATTTTTGCACCAAACTTAAATAGGTCGTTAACTGCATGAATAGATATTGCTTCACACCAACCCTGTGAGCTTACTTCCGTGAATCATCGTAAATTTCGCTTAAGGGAAAATCGACAACCTTTGTTTAGCGACCATTCCTTAAAAATGATTTAGCTTTCAATGAGCAATTTCCCCGCCAAAAATTTAAGCCGTGCATAAGAACCACGCATACCTGGAGGATGAATCTGAAATCTTTGAGTAATATTTGGACAGGGAATATTCCCTTAAAATTTCAGCTTTCCTGCTTTTGTGGTTACCGAAACAGCAATCATCTCGCCAAATCTTTCACTCGCCCGCACGTAAGAATCGCCAACGCCTACGGGCTGAATTTGAAATCTTTAGTTCAGGCTTGCAAAGGGCCCTCTATCTTTTTTGGTTCCCAAGGTCGCCTTCCCGTCAAAAAATTTGCATGTTTTTAAGGTGTCTATAAGTGGGACCCAGGCTTAGATGGGTGGGTCGCACATGGTGCTGGCACATATTCCCGAAGTTTCAGCCTTCTAGCTTTTCTGGTTCTCAAGTTGAAAATGGGTAATAAAAAGTACGAACACACAAACACACACAGCTTCTTACCAATACGTCTTTTTGCGTTTGCATATTTGCAAAAACGCATTAAAAACTGGTTTCTCTGGTTGGCGAATTCGAGGCTTCTCTCCGAGCTCCAGAAAAAAAAACTAATTCTCAGCAGAAAAGGCCCGCTAACCAGTATCAAAAAAGTTACCACGAAGCAAGTTTATCAGCAAATTGACAAAAAACCTTTCACTGCCGACATGCAAAAGAATGTCAAGGTCATTCGAGCCGCGCTATATCAACGACAAGTTAATCGCTTTTGTTGTTCACAAAAATCAGTACGAGAATTCCAAACATATTGACTTTTCAGGGTTTTCTG